TACTCTTGAAAATTAAATCCTTATATAATTTAGGGTAATCAGCACATAACATTCCCACATTTCACTGTTATTGTGGAAAACGTCCATACCTTTCATTTTTTGGCATTTTCACCCTTATTTTCACATTTCATTGAGCAAAATGTCATTTTCATCTATTTTTTCAATTAAAAATTGTGAAATAACGAATATACCCTTCTATTTAAATTTAAAAAAATAAAAAGAGAAAAATAATTGCAACCATAATCCCAATTTTTTTTAAAAAAATGCAAATGATTCCCAAATAAATTGTGAAAAGAGGTTACATAATGTCCATACATTTCATTATTATTGCGAAAAAACGTCACTACCTTTCTTTCTTTTTTTTCTTAATATTTTCACCCTTAATTACACATTTTTTGTTCATTTGCACGTTAGTGTTATGTTACATCTCATGCTTCGTTGAAAATTTGTCTAAAATTCTCTTCGTTTATTGCTTGATAAATGAAGACTAATGCCCTTTTAACCTTGCGATTTTTCACACGTCTTTACAACGATGTATAATTCCTTCATTTGTGGCCTCTATTGACTGTAAATTTCGCGCTGAGTTTAAGAAGTTGTGGTTGCAGCATATTGATAACTTCATCTCTTAACAATTCCTTGAATACCACTATATTTAGAAGGAAAAGTGACTTGACTCGCACAAAGTTTTTTTTTCCTCATGAACAAAGTGGTTTTCTTTTAATTCTCTCTTACAATTGCTTCATACTTTGGTAAATACATATCTAACTTCTTGTATATGATGTGTATGCATGCCTTTTTGCCTAGTATATATGCAATCTAGCACTTGACATGTTGGGTAAGGTCGTCAAGAAATTACTGAATAATATTTAGATGGAATATTATACATTTATACTACCGAGTCATAATGTGTATCAACCCCGATGTTCAATCTTGAAAAGGAATAATCTATAGTATTAATTTGTCGTGTAATTTATTGATGTGCTCGGAAAAAGTTGGGAATATCTCATTACATGTAAGTTATTAGAAGCGAGATGGTATTTGGCAAACTTTTGGAAGAACAAGTCTAATCCAATTTCGGGTTATTCATTAGATTTATTTGAATTGAGTAATGATATTTAGCATCACCAGCTTAAACGAAAGAGTACAATAGATTCAATTAAATCTAACTAAATGTGAGAATATAAAATTCACTTAATTGAACTACTCATATTCTTCTACATAGACAAGTATTTTCTAGATTGCATTATTCATTTTAAGTTTTTAACTGGTTTTTTGTCATGATATTCCATCTAGACTTCACAATAATAATAAAAATATATGTAAAAATACGAAATTCTGTTTGATCACGCTAGTTCGTTGGTGAGTTCAAACGTGCACATATATTCATGGAAACAAAAGTTCACTAGCACGTTTGAACATACACGTGAACCAACTTAGACAAATTTGACTCGAATCATCCTACGTCAACCCCATACATCAAATAAAGAACAACACTTTAACCCTAAGGCTCCATTTTTTTTTTAAAGAAGGAGGGCGGTACCTTCGAGATTTTATTAATATGTCATCACTTGTAGCGGAGGAATACCGTGGTTACA